GGGGGCCCCTCCAGGCTCTCCATGCTGCTGCTGCTGCTGTAGGCGCTGACATCGCGGCACGACCGCTGCCGCCCCCCCCCGGACCCCCCCTCGGCATCGGAATCGGAATCGGGCGCCGTGTGCCGTCGGATTCGGGACACCGCATCCCTCAACGCCTGGCTGTAGAGGGCCGGCCGCCGCGGGGGGGGCCGCCCCCGGGACCCCCCACCCTTCCCCGGGCTCTGCTTGGAGCCGCGGGGGGGTGAAAGAGCGGATGGGGAGGTGGGGGCTCCGCGGGGGGTCCCGGGGGGGGTGGGAGGCACGGAGCCCCCCCCGGCGTAACGCACCTGATGGCGCTGCGGGGGGGGGACGTACTGAGCCCGGACCACCACGCGCGTGGCGTCGATGAGGACGTGCCCCCCCGCCCCCCGCCGGCCCCCACCGCGCCCTACGGGTCTGTGCCGGGGGGCTGCGGTGCGGGGAAGGGTCTGGCAATGCAGGGGGGGTCCCGTTACTCCCGGGGGGGGCTGCATCCCACGTGGCCATCGGACCCCCCCCTCGGTGGCGGCTCGGGGCAGCGTGTGGCTGCAGCCCCCCGGCACGGACCCGCGGCCGCGGGGTTTGGGGAGGGGGCTGCGCGGCCTCTGGGGGGGGACGGGCTGCAGGGTGCGGTGCGGAGCGTCGTAGGCGGGGGGGGGGATGTACGGGGGCGGCCCCCCCCCCCGGCGCAGGTTGGCCGCCCGCGCTCTCCGCATGTGGGTCTCGTAGCTGGGGGGGCCCGGCCTGGCCGCCGCTAACGGGGAGCGCAGGGGACCCGGCGGGTGCCGCTCCCGGGGGGGGCCGTACTGCGGTTCTACGGGGGGGGCGCGAAGCCGGGGGTGGTGCGGCGCCGGAGGGGGGCGAGAGGTGAAGTCCGGCTGGGGGACAACGCGGGGTCGGGGGGGGGTCAGCTCCGCCACGAAGCGCTTCTCCAGGAACCTGCAACACAGAGAGGGGCGTGAGGGGGGGTGTGGGATGGGGGGGGTCCGTCCCGCCCCCCCAAAGCCCCACTCACGCGTACTCCCCGGCGAAGCGCTGGTAGCCCCACGGGGACTCGGGCCGGCACCCCGCTGCCATCCCGGCGCTCGGGCTGCAAAACGTCACCGCGTTGATCTCCACCAGCAGCACTTGGGTCCGTTCGCAGATCCTCAGGCGCCCCACGCCCCTCTCCGTGCCCCCCAGCATGGCCCGGGGGGGAAGGGGGGGGTCAGGGATACGGGAGGGGGGGGCGGTCCCGGTGCTGCCGGTTTGGCACAGCCAGGCGCCCGGCCGCCCCGCACAGCCGCACGTGGGAGCGCGGTGGTGGCGCTGCCTGGATGTGGGGTGCAGCCCCCCAGGTTCGCCCCCCCCTCCCCCCTTTGCCCCCCCCCCCACCACCTCCCCAGGGATCCTTTTCAACCCCCCCGCCCCCCCTCTGCGACAGCGCGAGGCAATTGCCGGGTTTGGCATCGAGAGCTGCAGCCCACGCGGGCTCCGAGCGGAGCTTAGCAACCCTCCGGCGGCGGCATGGCAACGGAACCACCGGCAGCACCGGCACCAGAACCACCCCCCGGTACGGCACCGGGTATCCAGGAACCCCCCGCCCCCCCCACCGCCGCGGCTCTCACCTCACACCGCTGTGTCGGACACCGGAGGTGCTGATGGCCGCACTCTGACTCCCCCCCCCGGGCCGGAATGCGCTGCGCTCAGCACAGCTTCGTGCCTCCCCCGAGCAGAGATGGACGGGGTGGGCAGAGCCCCCCCCCCTACACACACACACCCTCCCCCCCCACATGGGGGTCCAAGCCCGACTCCCCCCTCTCACCCCACAGCCCCAATCCCAACCTTTCAGCAAAGCCACCGGCAGAACAAACAGGGATTTAGGGGCTGGGTGAGCTCAGCAGATTCCCCCGACGGCGACACGGGGGGGGTCCCGATGCCCCCCCTTCCACCCCCCCCCTCTCAGTGCCCCACACAACGAGGCTGCGTTGGTGCCAGGTCTGTGTTTATTTGCCATTTCTCTCCGCACACAAAGCGGTGGCAGTGAAGGGGGCTGGGGGGGGGCTGGACGGAGCAGAGTGGGGGAAAAATAAACCTATGTGGGGCTGGGACACCCCCAGCCCAGCCTGACTCCATGCAGCCCCCCCCCCTGCCCCCTCCCTCCTCCCCAGCCAGGGTCAGCTGCCCCATAGGGAGCACACTGAGGGGTTGGGGGCTGCCCAAGCACGGTGCCTGGTGTGGGGGGAGGCAGAGGCTGTTCCTGCCCCACAGCCGGCGGTTTATTGCTGCTGCTGCTGGTGAGTGGGACCCCCCCAGGGCAGGACGGGAGGGTGGGGGGCACCGGGATGGGCTGAGTCCCCCCCACAGCACCGCTCAGGGCTCGGAGCCTTCAGGGAGAACCAGGGCTTGGAGGATGTCCGAGAGGGAGACGATGCCTTTCACCACGTCGCTCTCATCCACCACCACCAAACGGTGCACCTGGGGGGGGGGCGGGGGGGCCGAGGTGGGCACAGGGATCCCACTCAGCCCACGGCATTTCTGTGGGGTGTGAGTTACCTCGGCCTCCACCAGGCGGTTGATGATGGCTTCCAACGTTTCGTGTTTGTAGCATTTGAGGACGCCCTCGAAGTAATGGGAGCGGTGCTGCAGCGCCCGCGTCACCGTCACGTCCAGGTTGTTGTAGGTCTTCTCAGCAGCCAAATTCTGGGGCAGGGAGAGGCATTGGGGGAGGGCAGCCACACACAGCCCCCCCACGAGCCCCAATCTCCATCCCTTCCAGCTCCATTCCACGTCACCACAACCTCAATACTCACGATAACATCGAACTTGGAGTAGATATCCACCACCCGCCCTGCAAGGGAGAGCTGGAGCTGTAAGGTGGGGAGGGGGCTGCACCCAAGGGACGGTGCAGACCCCACAAATAGGGACGCTGCACCCAAAGCCTTACCCGAATCATCGACCACAGGCAGAGCAGACACACGGTGCTGCACAAAGATGCCCAGAGCCACGTAGATGGGAGTGCTGGTGTTCACCACGGCGATGTTGCTGTAGGTACCGATCTGCAGCTCCTCCAGAGTCCGGGCCATAAACTCAGGCTTTGGAACCTCTGCAATCTGCAGGGGACGGGGAGGGAGGGGGGGACAGTGCTGACACTGGTTCGGTTTGGTGCTCCGGCTGCACCCTGGCTCGTGGGGAGGGGGGCTGGGATGGGGTCCTAGGAGTGAAAGCAGAGAGCACTGGGTGCGGAGTGGGACCCCAACACCGCCCAGGGAACCCCCAGCATCAAACCTGCGCCCACCCCCAGCGCCCCCGGAGCCTGCAGTTCCTGGCACGGCTCATCTTGGGGGGCAGCACCCACTGCCGTGTGGGGAAGGGGGGGGGGACTTACAAAGAGTTTGAGGAACTTGAGGATGCGTTTGTGGGTGAGGATGTAGAGAGTGTTGCCCGAGTCGGGGTCGATGACGGGGAGGCGGTGGATTTTGTTCCGGATCAGGGAGGAGACAGCATCAAAGAGGCTGTGGGGCAGAGAGAGAAAGAGGAATTGGGGCTCATACAGACCCCCCCCCACAATGATGCCACCTGAGCCCTCCCCACCCCCCACAGCCCCCACCTGGCGTTGGGGGAGATGCAGACCAGCGGCTTGAAGGAGTCCTGCAGGTACACCTCTGTGGGGAGGGGAGGCTCAGCTTTGGGGCACCCCAACAGGGATGGGGCAGCGGGAGGCAGCAGCTCTGTTACCTCTCCACGTCTCAATTTTGTGCTCCTCCAGCTCATAGATCTGCACCTGAGCACCGCGAGAAACCTCCAGGTTAATCCAACGGGACCCCCCCTCACCCCCCCCAACCCAAAGGGTTATGGGGCAGCCCCCCATCCCAACCCCCTCCCCCAGCACCACCCCCCCCTACCATGGGTGACTTGTAGTAGCGGTGCAGGATGTTGATGAAGTCGGTGAT